TCATCATAAAAATCTGTATCGAAATCACAATGCAGTTTAAACGATTTTAGATTAGCCAATTTTTTCTAAAAATGAGAACAAATGTAATTCATTTAAATAGATTAAAGATTAAGCAAAATACTATACCTTATTATTGATTATTAAACGCGAAGAAGTAATGAAGTCAATATTAACATGAAATGTATGAAGCTGATTGAAACGTCCATCAAGTAAATAAAGGCAATCACTAAAATTATCCAAACAAACATATAATTCTAACAGAGTCGAAGAAATAACAGTTGGAGGTGATCTATCAAAGGATAAATATTGATACCAAATTGAAGATGGACCAATATTTAATGTTTGTAAATTAGTAAATGTATTAAGTATATGAGTAAATAAAATTATATTTTCATCTCGTGTTGGATTTCCTTCTCCACTTGCTTTAATATCGATAACAAGTGATGAAATTTGTTTTTTGTAGGTAGAAATCAAAAGACGTTCATCTACAGTAGAAAAAAAATTAGAAAAATTATTGAAAATATTTTATTAAAGCTTATATTTTTCTTTAACTTTAAGTATTTATTTATTTTTTGTAATAACACTGAAATTTACATTTGTGATGATCTTGTTCTTTTTCAAACTAGTCAACAAAGTACATTTTATCATAGTCATCAATCCTCATCCTCTATTTTATTATATATTTTCTTTCTCACAAATCTATGCTTAAAAGTTTAATTTGAAGACATAATATCAAGCTTATTTTAATATTTTTTTCTAAAAACATTTCTATTCTATTCTATGTAAAATAGTCTCTTTGATATTAGTTATAAATTAATTCAAATAAATTCATTTGACATATAGTTATAATGTACCGGGTAGTTATTATGTACCGGGTTGGGTATGGGGGGGGGTCGAGGGGTAGCGCTGTTATTTCAAGTTGAATACCTAATGAATTTTATACCAAATTAAAGAGCTTTGAAAACTGGATTTATTAGTACTAAATAGTAAGCGTTATCGAAATATATTAATGTCGAACTTACGGAAGTTTCGGAAATTTTATGCTTTTTTTAGCATAGAAAATTAAGGCACCAGCAATTTTTTATAGGGAAGAAAAACACTCGATTTTCTCAAGAAAATTAGTTTTTTTCATTATTTTTACTAACAAAGACGCTTCGGAATACACTTTTTAGACGCAGTTTTTCACGCTGCATCGGATGAGTATATTTCGAAGCGTCTTTATCAGTAAAGATAATGAAAAAAGCTAATTTCATTGAAAAAATCAAATGTTTTTCTTCCATATAAAAAAAAACGAGTTTTTAGAGATTTTTTTAGGATTTTACAAGTAATTTTTTAAATTTTTTATCTCAGAAAAATGGCTTAAAAAACTTTTGATATATACAGTTTTCTAAAGCTCGACGAGCTCTATCGAACCATGTAAAAATATCAAAAGAAAATATTTCACTCTATATTTGAATTGCTGGTGCCTTAATTTTCTATGCTAAAAAAAGCATACAATTTCGTAAGTTCGACATTAATATATTTTGATAACTCTTACTATTTAGTACTAATAAATACAGTTTTCGACGCTCTTTAATTTGGTATAAAATTCATTAGGTATTCAACTTGAAATAATGGCGCTACCCTCTAGCAAAAGGTTATGCACAACCCGGTATTTATCAGCGCGAAAGAATCGCAGGCAAATATCTTACCAGAAAATAGATGTACAGCATTTTCTAAGTGAATATTATACAAAGCAATTCCAACTAAATTAGGATAATTTGTAGAAAGAAGAATACGTTCCATCGATGATGATTCAAGATCAAGCCATTTGACTTTTTGATGAATTTTAGATAAGATATGTGAACAAAAACGATCAAGTACTAAATCAGATAATGGATAAGCAAAATATATTGGAGAATATATTTCCAAAATCAAACGACTTGGTACAAAATTTACCAAAGTCAAACGATTGGTAAAAATAGAGTCATATACTATTTTATTTAAACGTATATTAACATCGGATAAAGAATAAAGTAGTGTAATATTATGTAATGTTTTAAAAATCATCATAAGAATTTCATCAGGTAAATCATTCAATTGAATAGATGAATTTCCCATGTTCATCTTCACTTGTCTATTCTTTTTCATCTATAAATGTCGATATTTATAGACATAATCATATGTTCTATTTGACCGATGTCGTCAATAACAACAATAATTTTTTATTTTTCCATACTCTTAGAGGCCAAATAGACTAGACGAAATAAAACTGAATTACGGAATATGATTCGTGTTTTTTTACGTAGCAACACCAATCACATTCCTTAATTCAGTTTTTTTATTTCGTCTAGTCTGTTTGGGGCCTTAATGGACAATGAATACATTTACGGCTAATAGAATGATTTTTTTTTCGTTGTTTGTTCAACGTATACGATTTAATATGTGGATAAACATTTATAGTCTACGGTCAAATTAGAACGAATCATCAAATCCATGTCAAATGATGAACACCACCTCAATGCACTAGGTAGCACCATATGTCATGCCACTTTTCCTAGCATTCTCCTTAATACTGAATGTTGTTGGATGAGAAATATATCGTTTCATGAAGTTAGATTTTTCGGCCTCAATCTCGTTTCCGAGAAAATGATATTTAATGAGACCAATAGTGAGTAATGACAGTTGTCGATCAATAGCAACCACCCATTGACCACCTGTGTTTAGATTGGCCGTAGTATTTCGATAGTTTTATGTTTCAGTCACTTTTCTGAGAAAAACTAAAAGTACAGTTTGATGGAGAAAAATTTTCTGTATTCGACTAGTATCAATTGTCTATCTGGCCTCTTAATTTTTTATTCAAAGTGCATTTGATATTGATTGGCTTAACTCGCTATGCTTTAACTAGAGTAGTTACTATTTACTAGTAACTAAGTAAATATGTAGTTACTAGTTACTAGTAACTAAGTAAATATGTAGTTACTTAGTTACTGGTAACTAAGTAAAATTGTAGTTACTAGTTACCAGTAACTAAGTAACTACCGTAGTTACTTAGTTACTAGTAAAGTAAAGATAAAGTCCCACCCCTAATATAGACTATAAGGATCTATGAACGGTGGCCTGAAATAGAATCCTTGGAATCCCGTGGAATCCTTGGAATCTTGAAATCAGCTGTTCCCCCTTGAATCAACCTATAATCAAAATTCAAATAAATTCAATGAAAGAATGATTAAAGAAACTAACATAATCATGTTTTATTGATGATTGTTTTGTTTGATATGAAATATACTCATAATCTTTTGATTATGTCACTGAACAAAAAATTGACATTTCTAAAAAGAAAGAGAAAATAGTTGAAGATTATTGATAGAAAAAAGAATGAAACAAAGACTACCTTGATGTGAGAGATGATTGTTTATCTTGTGATGATAATGATGATTAAAAAGTCGTTTGAATAGCATGAACAATTTTATATATTTGTTCAAAGAATGATAGTTAACAATTAAAGTATATTTACAATTTAAATGAAATTTATCTTCAGTACACTCGGTTGGACTTAAATTTTTCTGTGTCGAAAGTATTATACCGATGAAATCTGTACCATTTAAAAAAAGAGTTTTTCGGTGGTGTCTTTAGTCTTTCATTTCGACGAAGTTCATTAGTCTGTTCTTGAGATGTCTCGAGAATTTGAGAGAATTCTTCTCAAGTCAATCAATAATCGATATTATATGGCTCAAAGTTATTATTAAACGAAAAATTTCAGCGTTTTCTATTTGTTTTATGTGGATGAATTGACGTAACATTATCCAGTCAAATAAATCCTCTTCCATTTCATCTTCATATATGGTTCAATAAATCATATGTGGATGAACTTGAAAATCATTATTATCATTTAGAAAAAAATATTTAATGATGAAATTGATCTTGGAAAAGAGGGTGAATTAATATCTATTGCAAATAAGACTAAAGTAATTTAGTCTTTTTATTTTTTTCGATTACTGTAAATGTTATCCATCTATCGATAAATATAAAAGAAAGAAAAAGAAGACGATATTATATTATATGGGCGTGGCCGCGCGTTACGGAATTTCATTTTTTCATATTGTGACACCTGTAGCTTCTCAAAAATCAAGGCAAACTTGCTAAAACTTTTATCATAGATAGAGATGGCTGAGATCTATTATCAGTAAAAATTTTATCTATTTCTGTCTAGTCATAGTTGAGTTATTCAACAAATACTGACCGTTACGGAATTTCATAAAATGGAAATTTTTTTTAGGGTGATGCAGAAGTTAAGCATTTTACCACATCACGAAACGACATACAAATAAATGCTCTATATAAAAGTTATTCAGTTTTCCATGAGCTTTCAAAATATCAATTCATTTCCTAGAAAGCATAACTGTACCAAATCAAATAACTGTAAATACTATCCGTTACGGAATTCCACTTCGTTACGGAATTTCATTATTTTTTGACTTTCTAATGGGGACGGTTAGGGACCTTACAGCTTTTAATTATCATGATGAAAACCCATCATTTCTCGTATCCGCGAATAGTACAGAGATAGTTCTATCGCGCGAGAATATCAGCTTCACGTTCAAAGCAGAATGACATTAAAATTCTGCCTGTTTTTTGGACAAAAAATGAAATATAATGGGACTCAGAACGGATAGTTTTTTGGTGAAATTCGTCAAAAAATCCGTTTTCAGACACTTATTGGAGGAAAAATACGGTTTATATAACCAATCAACAACGTATCTCAGAAGTTGCAACGTGTTTCATAATCTGTTAGGGTGTGGGTGTGGGTGTGGGTGTGGGTGTGGGCGTGGGTGTGGATTTGGGTGTGAATGTGGATGTGGGGGTGTGTGTGTGTGGGCGTGGGCGTGGGGTGTGGGTGGATACGGGTGTGGGGTGTGGCTGTGGGGTATGGATGGGTGTGGGTGGGGTGTGTGGGTGTGGGTGTGGGTTTGGGTGGGTGTGGGTGTGTGTGTGTGAGGGTGTGGGATTTGAGTGTGTCAAAAAAAAGACCAATGCTCACATTCACATTCTACACCCACCTCCTTCGATTCGTTCCCCCGGCATGCTGTCTTCGGTGTCAAGATATACGATATCGGAAGAATAGCAACGCATACCAACGTCTTCATGACTATCTAAATTTCGCTTTTCGTTCTTTCGTTTTCGCATCTTT